CATCTGCGCAACCCACGCAGATTTCTAAGGGTAACAACGCACGAGTCGCGCACCGCGGCAGGTGGCGGATGAGCGGTACCGCGGGGAAGTGCGGATTGCTTTACGGAAACCGTCGTGGATGGCTGGTTGCTAGCGTAGTCGTCATGAAAGTCCGCGCGGTCTCCGAGTTCGCCGCGTGCGATGGCGGCGTCCGCACATCCGCGCGGTTACCCGGTTGCCAGTGAGTAGTCTGCCAATTATTCCTACACAAACTAACATCCGCGTGACCGCCATCCGCCGCGGTTTGCGGCTCGTGCGTTATTGTCCTAAGGTGCCTGTCGTTAATAGGCGACAACTGCAGTCCTGCGAAAACGCGGATTTCCAGGATACGGGTGCGGCGATCCCCGCGAAAAACAGTCAGTCAGTTGCAACGAGGGGTATGAGTACTCACCTTCCTAAGGGTCGCCAGTAGTTAAGCACGACTCCTCTTGACGTCTTGGTCCAATGCCGCCACCGCTGCTGCCTCTCAATTAAACCCACAATCAACAATAGAATTTCAGAAATCTAGCTTGGAGGAAGCCTATACAAAGGGACCAAGTCTACACAAATTGTCTGAAACAATAGAGATGCAGGTTTTTCACGGTAGCGACCTTAGTATTCCGGTGGACAGTGGACACCCATCGGGTACTACGGTCTGCGAACCCTTACACGTCACCCCAGGGATTTTCGTAGCCAGAACTCTGGTAGACATACCAAACCATACACAGAGAAGCCGCCGGACAATCGTGATTAGAATAATCAACGTTTGTCCGTTGGCTCAGACAATTCGGAAAAACACGCCGATTTCGATACTGATGAGCGCCAGCACGGAAGACATCAGCCAAAATCTTCTTTCATCGCAAGTCAATACAATTAACTGCAGCAGTGAAGTTTCAGCAGTATATTTTGAAGACGACAACGGAACGTTAATGGAAAAATGCCTAAAGGGTAAAGATTGCCAGTACATAGAAATCCAGGAGATTTTGGAGGAATTAAAAGATATTTTTGCCGAGAAAAACCTTTAAAAGCAACGTCCCTAGTTAAGCATAGAATTGACACAGGAAATAACCCACCAGTTTATAAGCCACCTGATCGCGTAGCATTTAAGTTACAGCAGATAGTAAGAAAACAAGTCGACGAGGTGTTAGAAGGCGGAACAATCAAAACCTCGGTATCTTCCTTCAGCGCGCCAGTGGTGACCGTAGAACAGCTGACTAAGGAAGGACAAAAGAAGTATCTTTTCTGTATCGACTACCGTGGACTCAACGCAATAACCAAGAGAGACTTATTTCCGATTCCCAATATCAACGAGACCTAAGATTCTTTAGGAGAGCAGAGCTTTTCTCGACCCTGGACATGACGAAAGCATATTGGCAGGTGGAAATAGACCCGAATGATAAAGAGAAGACTGTGTTTTCGGTGCCTTGGGTGCATTACGAGTGCAACAGGATGCCGTTTGGAATAGGCAACGCACCAGCAACATGGATGAGGCTGATGTATGCGCTGTTGTCAGGTCTTACAGGGTCACACTGTTTCGCCTACCTCGACGATATAATCTGTTTTTCAAGGAATGATGTCAAGGAACACGTAAACAAGCTCCGAGACATACAGGGTGACTTCGATGTTGAGTCATTTATTTTAACAGTGAGTAGATCTGATCAAAAGAAATGTTTTTTTCCTTTAACATTTTTCTGGTAAAATTAAAGTAACAAAGTTATAGCCCTTTAGAAGTTTGAGTACCGCCCTGTCTCAATAATAATATTATGTGCTCGTGTTTGGCAACAACGGATATAATTCGCCTTATCCGTTCATCGCATTGGAAACAAAAAAGCGAAAGAATTTGAAACGATGTTTTTACTACAATGTACAATTTTATTCAGTTGTATTTAGTCGATGTGTCAGTCGGTAACGCGTGAGTGAATAGTGGTGTTTGTTGCGTGGCTCAAACGAAATGAAAAATGGCACATGTTTATGAAAATGCTGAATGTAGTACAAAGGGCTCGTGAATCAGGTGACTTAGGACCTCACAGGGGAGGGCATGCCGGTACTCCAAGACCGCACGATCAAATACAGGTCCGCACTGAAATACTTGTCGGGAGGATACTTTATAAAACAAGGTAACATTTTTTTTATTTTTTTTTATTTTTACACACATATTTTGGTTTATCTTCCTTCTACTATCATTATCTGAAAATTAATGACTCAACTTCAAAGTCACCCTGTATTTTTGAAAGTTCGAGAAGCGGGCTTAACGCTGAACAAGGACAAGTGCGAATTCCTCAAGACCCACACAGGTTACATAACTCATATAGTGAGCAAAGATGGAGTAAAACCAGATCCAGCAAAGGTCTAAGCAATCCGATATTATCCACCACCAAAGGATGTCAGTCAAATCAGAGCTTTTCTGGGGTTAGTTGATTACTATCGGCGGTTCGTCAAGAACTTGTCTCAGATAGCTTTAACATTAACCAATTTCACACGGAAAAACATACCATTCCAGTGGGATTCGACTTGCCAGGATGCCTTCAACCAGTTAAAAACAGCCCTCGTTAAAGAAGCAATACTGAAGTACCCTGACTTTAACAAGAAGTTCATTCTATCTATAGATGCATCAGGTTTTGCTATTGGGGCAATTCTCAGTCAAGAGTATGATGGATTAGAACTTCCCATCGCTTACGTCAGCAGGCAACTGAAGAAAGTCGAGCGGAACTCCAGCACTACCAAAAGGGAATGTTTGGCGTTGGTCTAGAGTATCAAACATTTTCACTGTTACTTATATGGAACAGACTTCACCGTTTACACCGATCATCAACCGCTGAAGTGGCTCATCGGAGTAAAGAAAGCAAACAACCACTTGATGAGATAGTCACTAGCTTTGTCAGAAAATACTTTCAAAATAGAGTATAGGCCGGGTAAGAAACATAGCAACGTTGAAGCCCTCTCTAGGATTAAGCCTATAAGATGCTTTAAGGTCGGAGAGGAAGATTAAACGCCAGTGTGGGAGCGAGCAGAGATCAGAAGACAACAGAGATCAGATGAAAAGGTCGTGAAGATCATCAAGGAAGTCCTCAGCAATGCGGCTAAGGACTACTACCTGGATCTAGATGGAGTACTCTTCAAAAGATCGGACGATAGCCGACACGGAGATACCTTAGTTGCACCCAAAAATTTGCTACCGGCCATACTTAAGTTATATTTCAACTTACCACTTTCAGGGCATGCAGGAATCGACAAAACTTATGATAGAATAAAACGAGCTTTCGTGTGGACAGGAATTGTGTGTCCTGCGCGCAGAGAAAGACTTCGCCACACCAAAAGCCCGCGCCATTAGTAAAAAGCGAACCTGCCAAAAGGCCATTTTATAGAATATCCATGGACGTAGTGGGACCTTTGCCTGTAACCTTGAGAGGTAACAAATACATACTAACAGTACAGGATGCCTTGACCAAGTAAGTGGAAGCCTTTCCAATGCCAGACCAAACAGCCAATTCCGTAGCGAAGACCTTCATCACAGGAATCATTCTACGCCATGGAATGCCGAGACAGCTTTTGACAAACCTAGGTACAAACTTTACTTCTAATCTGATGCGTGAAGTTTGTGAGACCTTACAGATAAAGCACCTGAAAACCACTGCATACCGACCACAAGCCAATGGAGCCTTGGAGAGCTTTCATGGCACGTTAAAGGATATGCTCAATCACTACAACCGTGACAGATAAATGGCTGCCCTACGCCTTAGCAGCCTCTTCCTCGATGACGCAGTCGTCTACTGGAGAAAGCCCATTTTCCCTTTTGTATGGCAGGGACATGGACTACCCATACGATGACATCTTCAAACCACTGAGGGTGAGATACGACGCAACTATGCGGTAGAATTCATACAGCGTATGAAGTTTGCTCACATAAATGCTCACGACAATCTAAAGAACGAATTCACACTCAATTCAATAAGAAAGCTGAAGAGGTAAAGCTCAAGACAGAAGATCGGGTATATCTTCGGGATCCTGCGGATAAGGTCGGGATTAGTAGTAAATTAGCCAAGAAGTGGACAGGACCGTACAGGATAATCGATCTACGGAAAGTGACAGCCACGATAAGGGAGATACATGAGGTTAAGGAATAGAAGGTCCACATCAACCGGTTGAAGAAATGTCTGGCCACAGAAGATCCAGGAAACCAACTGGGAAATGTACCCATAAAGTTCCGACTGACAGAAAATATACCACCAATCGTAATCGGAATTTATCGCGGACAAGGACGTGAACAGGAGTGCGTAGAAGAAAATGGCGAATTGGCTAGCTTCGAGACATCCATCTCGCCTAGGAGGATTGCAAAGAACGAAGAAGACGAGGACGAAGACACTCCCCCACGCCCTATCGACCACAAAAGAGAAGAGGATCAAGATCTGAAGACAGAAACATTACCGGCGGAAGAAGAACCCGCCAGACAACAAACCCCAGCGGAACTAGCAAGAAGACATATCAGGAGTCAAGGGCCAGTACCAGAATTACCTTGAGTTACTGATCACCATTTTTAATACCACAGTCACTTCGCAACGCCCAGAGCCATATATAGCCATTTCAACTACTAAACGTTCTTATTTTTGAGTTCTTCGGGCTACTCGTCATCCTTGCAGCCAGCATGCTGCGGTTAGAGGCGGACATCATCGCCTATGACTGCAAGGACGACTAGGTCGAGCTCACGAAGGTCTCGCTGTTGAAGGTGAACCCATGTCTGGACACGAGGAAGGCGGAAGAAACCAAACCATGGGACATCCAGCTGGTCCAGAAACGCCAATACGTGGGGGTCGACGTATACACCTGTCTGATCGCCGTGCAACAAACGATCCAGCATTGCGGGATGCACTCGCACTCCAACAAAGTCGCAGGGGGCCTAGGAAAGTATGTCCTGGACCTGCCGGACTCCGAGTGCAGAAGAGCGCAGAAATTCCAACACTTGGACCTGAGGGCTATCGGCTGGTATGGTGTCCCAGCTCACGAAAAATGGAACGACGGAGGTTTCCACAACTCTGCAAGGACAACTGGACATAGAAGGCCGCTGCGAGGGAATGACCTTCACAGTAGGAGAGGTTGTCTACAAAAACGTAGTCGTCTCAGGAGCTATCACCATCAAGCTATCTGACTACGACACAGTTGCCAATGTGGAGTTAAACACCATCCACCTGAGGAGCGGCACCATCTGCCCTTTTAACGATGGCACCTGTTTCGACGATTTGTCCGGAATCGCACTTTACGAGTCCCACTACCAAGACTAATGCACCAACAAAGGTTTGACGTACTATACGAAGGAAATGCCACCCTTCTCACCTTACGTAAAGATCCACTGATCCAGTACGTGATTTTGGAGACGGACGACACAGTGTTTGACCTGAAGCTGACAAAGCGAGAAGACCTTTGCCATCAACCCTCCTGGCAAACAGAACAAGACCGCCATTTCCCTGCCCAATTCCCTGCTCACTGCCGTGGAACTTGGCTGCATGTAAACCCCGTATAAACAGTAAGGCTATTCGCAAAAAAAGAAAGAAAATACACCCTATTTCATCAGTATCCATCATGGTAGAATGACAAGTGATTATCTAGTAATATCTCAAAATTCCCCATATCGGCACAGGACACAATTCTGACGGCTCCGTCAACGTCAGATAGTCAGAGCGGTATTTTGTTTTAGTTTTTTGTATGCTACAGATTAATTTTGTACTTGCTAACAGCTCTTTTATCTAGAAAAGATCATTTTAATACTAAAAACAAAACGCTACAAACAAGTTACACTGGATTTTACACCAGATTCGTTATTGCAAACGTCGCAGACTAACAAAAAAATGTCACTTGCTACTCAGTAGACGTCAATGCATAATGTATATTCGTGAAATAGGGTATAGCCTTGGCTATGCCACGATCTTAAGCATCCTGTAATAGTGGCAAGCGTTATCTTTATTAATTCCAAGTCTTATCTTTCTTTTACTGCGCCTGCTCAGATGTCAAATTCGGCCAGGAATTATTACTTTATTGGACGTTCAATAACTCCCTATTGCGTGTAATACACAACAGAAATGTATATCTTTGAGCTCTTCGGATTGTCAAAAATACAAATCTCTCATCAGAAACCTGTTATTCTGGGACACCCTGTAAAAGTTGCATAAATATGATTTGAATAATATGAATAATTATGTACCCCCTCTGAAAGCCTTCTAAATTCAAATAATATAAAAAACGAAAAGAAAAAGAATCGTCAAAATCAAAGCTATTCTCGAGGACTTTCAACGAAAAAAAAATTCCGATGATGCTACTAACGTACCTACTAATTGAACTCAATTAAATGGTTAATCCAGCTGAAAGTTACGTACCTATATCTTTATTCCATAATGGTAGTTGCGAATTTGAAGAATATTTACATATCTTTCAGTCAGAAAGAAAGATATTTTATAGCTGTTAGAAAAATTTAAGGTAATGGTAAAATAATTGAACGCGTGAAAATGAATTTTAATTGAATTTGTTTTCATCATTAATTTTAACAATTTTTCCATTCAGGTGTCACAAAAGACCATCACCAGGAATGAAAATATTTGGACCATGAATATTATTGATGTGTCATACAACACAAAATTTAGATAAAAGTATATTCTCAAGTATAGATTATTTTACTGTTCACAAAATGTCAAATAACTGTAGGATATATGGATGATTTCATAAAGGTCTGTGTTAGGTATTGACGCTGTTGCTTTAACAGATAAGAGAGTATTTGTTTGTCAAAACAGCAAAAATATGCTAACAACATATGGCGTAATAAAATCATCCTTATATCATTAGAAATGTGTACTAGAAAATCATACACAGTCTCAGATGTATGCAAAGAGCCGGCAACGACACATGTGGCGCTTATGCACAATCTGGCAACCATGTGGAATCTAGAAAAAGTGACGCTTGACATTGACATAAATTAACCGTGTTGTACATGGTTAGTTCAGTGTCTGTGTTTTATGGTTCTGAGTTCGCGTTCGTTTCGTGTGTTTTGTGGTGATCTCGTCCAACGTCCACGCGCCATTTTCGACGCCGCCTCATAGATCCGGCGTGGCTTTTATTTTCTAAAGCTTGACGTTAGTCACATTTTCCTGTAATTTAAAAGTATTTTCGGGTTTTCCTGTTTCCCAGGTTAAAATATGGTGAGTAAAGCCTTATTTTATATTACACTTCAACTTCATTATCTGATTTTATATTTTGTAACCTCAAGTTTTGTACAGATTAGACGATTATAGAATCCTGGTTTTTCTTGCACTGTAGTGTTTGCTTATCCACATTCGTTTTAATTTAGTTTTTGTTGGGTATATGTATTCTTCATATGTGGGTAAAGACACACTTGTCTGCATTTTTAGTTAAGTGGTTCATGGTTTTCGTTCTTGATATTTTAAATTAAGAATATTTCATTTTTTATCGTTGTATGTGCTTCAGCATTGCTATATTGGTGAATATATGGTGTTTGGAATTTCAATGGTCTGCCAACAGAAAAACAATTTGCTTCAAAATTAACAAATCAGATACTCCCTTGGCGTGCTCCATTCCCGACTTGCACTACAAATTCAACAAATCGTGTAAGTGTAGTTGGTCATACAAATGTACGAATGCTCTTTGTAATGTCAAATAGTTGGGGTGAATGTGCCAGTGATCCGACAGGTTAGACAAAAGTGGAATACAAAGTGCAATTACGAATTTTGTGTTCAAGACAACACAACTTATGCTTTTGGAGGTGATCATATATGTTAACTTTTTGCTGACAAAAAATACATTGCTTAGATATTCCTGTAATTTTATAAAAAAAATAATGTTAATCAAAAAGGTGGTATTTTGCCAGTACTTGTACAGAAGGTGCTACTAGTAGTTTTAGACAGAACTGTATTTGAAAGTTTGTGATAGGTAGTATAGAAATTTCAAATCAGCTGTCATTAAGACTTTGAGGAAAAGAAATTAAACACACTTATACTGAATCCATATAATAAAAAATTATCAAAAATTTATACAATTAGGTAAAAATGAACAAGAAACTAATTGCAAAATAACCCGTCCCTGCACTGTTGACTTTGAACTACCATACTGTTTTCATATTTCAAGCAATTTCCCAACATTTCTTACAGCTTCAACTGTCTCGTTTAGCCTGCCTTCACTATATACACGGAAATTATTTTTTATTATGTGAAATTTTATTTCACATCTCGTGAAAAAATGGTGGGAAAAGGGAAGTGGCAGGTCCACTGGTTTCCGTGTCAGCCCCAACAGATGATAAACATCAAGTATTATCAGCCTAACATATCTTAGAATTCATAAAGAAAATATAACCTCAAAATGAGTGCTTACAGGAAAACTAGAAATCTAGAAATAGCCCTGCCTTTCTAAATGACATAAATGTTACCTCCCTAACTTGTTAGTACTGGTACCTATAAAACCTGTCAAAATTGTATTGTTCTGAGATCATCAGAACTTGTTGAGTAAAATCAAATTGTGCAAAAAATTGTTGAATATGAAATGAGTAAGTAATACCTATTCCATACAATGATAATGAAAGCTGAAGCATTCCTTTATCATGCAAATGATAACTAAACTTGCTATTTTTTTCCGGGGACCCTGGCATATTTTTCTAATACCATGTATAAGTGAGCCACTGGGATCTCGGAAATTGTAAGAGATACGATTTTGCGTAAACTGGGGCAAAGTTGTATATTTAGGTAATCAAAATGCTGCTTAGAAAGTTTCGAAATTCAAAGTACTTTCGGAGAGAGACGGAAGAAATGAAATTTTCCAAAATTATTTTAATTTTGCCCAGACTTTATTTGTGGTGGGATTTCAAAATACATTCCACACTAACATTGCCACTTTTTCTCCTCTAAAAGAAGGCATACTTGGAATGTTGATATAATGTTTTGTTTCTTGTCCTCCAGCATGAACTTTATTTTTTCTTACGGATGTCATATTGAGTTTTTAATTCTGATTTCAAAAATGTAAAATACGTCATGCATTGACATTGCCAAACCTTAGTTATTTAGAAAAAAAACATAATTTCCTATGTAGGCCTATAAATTTGCTTTGCATACTAGACTTATCCCAAAACTACTTTTATTTTTTCCTGACTTTATTCAAAATGGAATTTCAAAATAAATTGCATGTTGTCATTGTTACTTATTCTCCTCTACAAGATGGCATAGTCAAATTCTCAATTTGACATTTTTTCATTCAATTTCCTTTACTAACTTTGTTTTTTTTTATGGACGCTATCTTGGAATTTTGTACATTTAAATGGTGTTTTCAGTTCTAAATTCGGTGATGTATTTCCTTAGTTTGCCATAAATTTGTTGTTGGATGAAAATTATAACTAAATAAAAAGGTATGGTGAAACCTGAAGACAAAATGAAAATTTTATTGATCGTAATAACAATAAAATCATAAACAAGCATAGGTAAATCATAGCAGCATGTTTTTTTTTTTTTTTTTTTTTTTTTTTTTTTGTAGGCAAAGTCTGACTCTTCTCTCTACTTTGTTCACTGCTCGCTTTATTTCTCTTCATCTCAGTCTTCAAAACTCAAACTCTGTTGCTATGCCATGCAGTTTGAGGTCTGGTCTGGTATAGAAAACAAAAAAAAATGATAATTTCAAGGAATACCTAGGAACTTCTGTTTTTCATGGAATAACTAAGGTTTGGCAATGTTAATGTATAGCATATACATTTTTCAAATCAGATTTAAAAATCCTGGTAATCTGTACAAAAATCCAATATGGCATGTGTAAGGAAAAATCAAGTCGATGCTGGATTACAAGAGATGAAACTCCTTGTGAAGTAGCAATGTTTTTTTTTTGTGTTTTTGGAGAGAATATGTTAATATACAATTTATTTTGAAATCCCACTACACATAAAGTCAGGAACAAATATAACAATCTGGGAAATTTCTTTTTTTCCCGTCTCTCTCCGAAAGTACATTGAATTTCAAAACTTTCTAAGCTCATTTTGTTGATTATCTAAATACGCAACTTTGCCCTCATTTAACGACTTCGTATTTATTACATTTTCCAAGATCCCAACGGTGAGGGTCGAATTTCAAACACCCTGTATATATTAGTACTACTACTATATCACTTCTTTCATGCCTGAGTTCATATCAAACGAACCATAACGATAAAACATGTCGCATATGCGCCGTAGCAGTAGCTTAGATCCTATAAATCAAAGAACGCATAAACAGCGACCCATAAAGAAACCAATTGGGCAAGTTCT